CACATCGTCACATCAAGATTCACCAGGCATCCATCTCACTCTCCAACACCACTTGCCAGAGTTTCGACCGCTTCAAACACCGCCAAACCGCAGCGACGCGACGGACCAAACCGGATCCCGGTTGGTCTTCGCTGCTGGCGGCGGCCTGGACTTCCCCGAAACGCAGTTCCCGTGGGATCTCTCTGGCCGTGGGATTCTCCCCGGGCGCCGGGTGCCCGGCGCACGAGATGCGCCGGGAACCCGGTCGCGAGGCCAGCGGCGGCGGGAGAGCGGCGGCGTCTTGGATCAAAAAAACGCCCAGAAGCCTTTCTGGTCTTCGATGGGCCTATCGGAGATGGTCATCGGATCAGCAGCGATCAGGGAGGTGATCCTCGGCAACTGCGCGATCCCGAAACCGACGCCGCGACGGTCGGTGTCTAGGTTGCGTCTGGGAGGACATCGAATTCTGTGTGTTCAAAAAAGAAACCCCTTTTGTCTTGGGGAGATCTACTTCTTGTTCTCGATCTGTATGCCATAGTGTAGCCTTCGTGTCTGTCCGTTTGTTGGGTCCAAAAATGACCATAATGAAGGACACTCCAACCACACAAATCCCCGAAATGCACATGGATTTCATGTCATACAGCTACCGTGTCAAGCGGCGCGTCAAATCCCAGGATCGTCAAATACAGCCAAAGCCTGGCGTCTCTCATCAACTCCAAACGCCTCTCATCAACTCAAAACGCCCCGATTCACCATCTCATCCCAAGGCATCCCAAGCATCCTAAAGCGATGTCTGCGAACATCTGCAGAGGCACTCCAAGGCCCCCCTCCATACGCTTCACTTCCAACACAATCCAAGAATCCACCCTTCAACCGCCCATGCCCCCGCGGACGAAACCTGCAACCTTTTAATACGAAACACCGGTTCCACTGCCTGGGGGATTTGATCACGAACAACAAGACCGGCCATTCCACCGCGTAGGTGATGAGATACCTCCAGCTGCGACGAAGCGGCCGGAACGAGGCAGCGGCGGGAACGAAGGCGGCCGCACCCAGGCAGCTGACGCCGGAGCCTATCGGGCCTATCTGGAGCCTATAAGGGCCTCGCAAATGGTCAACGGATGTTCGGATCCAGTTCCAAAAGGCTCCGCCTTCTTCCCCCCACCCGAATCCGGCCCACCTGGATCACTCCGCATCTGAAACCCCCTGAATCGCACGCCGGGAGGCGGGACGTAGCTCGCCCAAGGCTGCTTTTTGATGATGGCGCCCTAGGCATGGCGGTCCGGCGGCCCGAAGCGAGCACCGGTGGCTGACCGGACCGGGCTCTGAAGCACTTCGTCAACGGAAAAGGGTCAAGCTAAGCCCAGAAGAAATGATATAAATGATCGTATAGTGAAACTGAAGTGTGAAGTGATTCAGAAAAATGAGCAAAAACGTCTTTGCATGCTCTAGTAGAACTACTAGGGCGCATGGCCTTGGACTGATGCTGCATGTTCATGTTTGGCCGCCGACAACGGCTCGGAACTGCGGCTCGGATGCTCCAGGGCTGCACTGCGTAGCAACTATTGACTCCCAAAAATGACATCACTGGCCAGTCTTAGGTCTTAGGTGCATCTCTTTGACTCCGTCCTCTGCTCCGTGACCGCTTTCGCTTCGATGTCTGCTCCTCATCCGCTCCCGCCCAACTGAATCCGCTCCAAGGCGCCAGGGTTTGGACGGACAAGCAAATGTTCTCAATAAGGATGATTGCAGCACCTCGGACGTCGGACGGTCCAGTCCGGCCAGCTCGTTCAGAGCCGAACACGAGTCTCTTTTTGGGGACCTTCTCCGAGTCTCGACTCCACCGAAGCTGAGAAGCGTGGCGTTGCAAACCCCAAGATGCTTGAAACTCTCTGAAGAGATGTCCGCCTTTTCACTGTCTACATGTCTGAACTCTAAACATCTCTAAACCATCCAAAAACAGCAAGCTCGCCCACCCTGACGCTGGTCAAACACCCACCCCAAAAAAGAAGAACAATCAATAATCATAATAATCACACCACCTGCACCGTGGTGAACCACCGTCTACCCCTCCTCTACATCCCCTCCACCAGAAGAGCGGCCGAATTTGATGTTCCGCTCGATGACCTCTCGCCGCCAGAGCCGGGTGCGCAGCAACCGCGCGTAGTCGTCTGGCAGGACCGGAGACCGCGACGACCGCGACGAGGCCGAGCGGTGCGGGGGCGAAGCCCACGGTTCCAACGTCCCGTCTTCCGGTTCCACCGGGGAAGTGGAGGGTCGTGTGGCGCATCAAGGGTGTGAAAAAAAATCCATAAAGACCAGACGTGCTTCCGGGAATGCAAACCCTTGCATCCATGCATGAGACGCGAGCGAAGGATCGGATCCTGCCTTCCCCACCTCTGATAGGGGGAGTTTGAACGGTCAGTTGGTTATGGCTCAAAGCTCCCAAGTGAGTGTTGAAACAGTGAGCTGTTCTTCAATCAGTTCGAGTTGCGCGAAGTGGCAGTTTCTGTCTTGTGGGCAAGTGCCAGGGCTTACTTACACTTGGCGAAAGGACAAGGAAGCTTTTTGGGGGAAGCTTCTGTACTTGGTCTTCCTGCATACGAATTCTGCCAAGGTGTTCTGCTGTCAAAATACACGTATCGGCCGCAAACAGCCATCAAACCAATACTGTGATTGTCTGGTGGCGAGAAGGGCCTACCACAGATTGGTGCAGGAAAGTCATAACTGTATTGCATCATGCCGCGTCATACCCTCTGCTGGGGCCATAGGGCCATTTCATCCGCCATATGCAAGTGGTGGAAGTCATATTCTATCAGCGTTTAGAGCGACATGAATTCGAAAGATCCTTGGGGGACGACAACCATCCACTTCGAAAGCTGGCAGAAGCTTCCGCAAAGCTTCCATGCAGATCATCATACTCCCGGCTTTCGGAGCTGGGACGTTTCCTGCGGGGCTGTGACCTCCCGGGGGCGCCCCTGGAAGTTCCCGGGCTCCCCCGCACCCCTCTCAGCCGCCCCCGCCTTCAGTGTCCGATCCCTTTTCATCATCCATTCGGCGGCAGACCCTCATCCGAACGAGGTGGGCACAGCAGGACCCGAAGCCCGCGTCGCGCTACTGGGACTTTTATTAACAAAGCATCAATGATGGCAGCAGGTCCCACAGTCCCCACAGTCCCACAGTCCCCATGACTGGTCCCCGCACTGGGACTGGTCCCACAGTTCTCCGAAGAAAATCCATCCATCCGAGCCACGTCGACTGGGACGACTCGGAGGAATCGGAGTCCTGCAGGAAGCCGAAGGAAGCCGCACAACCGGGTGGGTCGGCCACACTCAGGGTGTGCCGAATAGAGAGAGGTGGGTCGGTCTCAACGAGTGGTCCAGGAAGTGACTCTTTCTCGATCTGAACATGCCGTCGTCAACACTGACGTCAACAGGATGGAGCGCGGAAATCTTGCTCATCTTGGCCGGGCCTCTCGAAAATCACGCGTCCAGCGAGAAATGATAGGAAAAGCCATGGACTCCAGAAAAGCCATGCTGGTCCTTTGGTCCACACAGTACCTACCTTGCCCTTGTCAGCAGTAACACCCTTGCACACGAAAGTTCCTTCGTGATGGACCTTACACACGAAACAAAACCCCAACTGGCCGACCGAGCTGTCGAGGTCCTCGGAGGACATCTCACTGCTCTCGTTTCCCCCAAGCTCCTGGCAACGAAGCACCAGCAACTTAATGGTTGTTAGCCCACCATGAATTTAAGGGTTCGAATCCCGAACAACCATCGTGTTGCCAGGGACTTTACACCACAAAACCAGGTCTAATCTCTGTCCACCATTGAAATCAATGGCTGAAGGCTAGGGCGGCTAGGTCCTCTAGGTCTTAAGGCATCCAATCAAAGTTGGAAACAAAGGTTTTGAGACTCTCACTCTCCCAAGTTCTCCTCATCCTTCGGGCTTCTGTAGCCCTTTGGAGATGTAGGTAACAGGGTCATGGCAGGGCGCGGAGGCGACGTCGAAAGCCACATGCAACGCGGCCGGAAGAAGGTCTGTTTGGTCTTTTGGTGTGGAACAAGACTTTGGGAACGTTCGACAACGAACAAGCAAAAGGAACAGGCATCACAGCTTTGCGGTCTTCTCTTGCGGTTGAACTGCGCAAACCAACCTCTGACCGATGATCTGCTCTTCCTCGCAACTCTGGTCCGGCCGGCGGCCGCCAGGAGATGACACTCCTAATTTGTGAGACCTGAAGCCACCCAAGCAGTCAGCGCAACCGACGAAGTTGCTCAAGTCGACGGGTCGCGGGACCAAAGTCAGGCGAAAAACCGGTGGGGCTTGGAACTCAAGGGATGTTGAAGGCATTGGATCTTGGGGGGTCTGAAGAGGACTCGACCTTCAGGTTGATCAGAGGGCAGAAGACTGATTGGAATTCTAGCGGTACAAATGGCTCCAGAAGACGATCAATCCAATTTCACCCCATCTCCAGGATAATCATGTTTAGCTCAAGATAAGCTTCCATAAGCAATAACTATATATCCTCAACATATTTTCCTGTAGATTATCCTGGAGATCTTTTCTTTGAACGTAGATACAGATATTCCACTTCTATGAAGAGATACACGTCTATGTGCATAATACGTATATAGTCTACATATTATTAATGTTATTGCGTAATATATCATAATACACATTGTACATATATATATATATATATGTTGCTTAATTGTATTGTATATATATATATACATATCTCTAGAAAGCAGCAAATAGCCGAAACATCATCTCATCACCTCAGCCTACGATGTTTGCTCTATCTATCTGCTAACTACCTGTGCTTGAAGACTTCCCGAGCATCCCCTGCATGTCCTCCACTTCCTTCAGCTTCATGAAAGGCTGTGCTTCTTTTACCAACAGGCCCGGCCATGCTGATCAAACATGCAAGTCTTCTTCCGAGTCATGTCAGAAAACCCACACCCTCCACACCCAATGAGAGCCGCAGCCTCATCCAGCCCGTCCCGAACCCTTTCCTGGGAGGGCAGTAGTGGGTGTTGAAGAACTGCCGAATCTCCTTTGCCAGGCTTTCCTGACCCACGGACGGCACGCTGTGCGATGGATGCCCAGCCGCGGTAACGAGTGGAGGGATGGGACCAGCGATGAAGGATGAAGCCTGAGAAGGATTAAGGACTCAGCAGGGTCCGGGTGAAATTGAATGGCTCCAGCCGACGGCTTCTGCTCCGGGGGACTTCACACATCTCGACCCCACCGCAAACCCTCCTGGTCCGTGCGCCGCAGGGTCTCGAGGTTCCCGGTGTGGAAGCGCTGCGCGGGGCTCTCCGCCTCGGGTCACCGCTTCGAACGAGAGGAGTTGGCTTCGCTTCGTCCGATCGTACCTCCGTTCGTCGGACGGCCCAGGAGCCCTAGAGGCCCTAGTGAAGCTACTAGGAACAAGTGCATCGCTTCTAGTAACAAGTGCCATACTAGTAGTAACAAGAAGCTACTAGGAACAAGTGCATCGTATGGCACTTGTTACTAGTAGCGATGCACTTGTTTCCTAGATTCTTCCGATGTGGACAGAACCGATCGGCGCCGGATTGGAGGCCCACCGTTCGGTCGGATCCCGTTCGGTCGGATCTTTGGGGGGTGTTTGAAAGAGTCGAACGAGAGCTGAGAAGTCTGGCAAAAAAGAAGCCAAATTCACCAGTTCTTTGTTCATATGGTGTGCCCCACGTTTCACCATCCTTGTTCGCTTTTTAAATCAACTTCAGAAACCCAGGGGGTAGCCATTGGCAATTGAGCTCCCCAGCCTCTTGGCACCGACCGGTCGCCTCCAAAAACTAACCGCTCCGGTGGGTCTGAAGGTCTCGGTTCTTCCTGCGAGGCGCGCCGCTCTCCGCTCGGCCGCGCTCGGTTTCTTCGCCGCGAGGCGCGACCGCCATTTGGCCGATCAAGCTCTGGATCCGCCATTCCTGGCTCTTCCGGTTCTTGTTGTGCTCGCTGTTCACGGCCTGCACCTGCGGCCACTGGACGGGCTGCCCCCTTCTTGCAAAAAGGAACATGCACGGATGAGATCTTTTGACCAGGTTCCCAGTTGCAGAAAATGCTCCAATACTCTTGCAAATCATGAACGAATGAACTCTTCCGTTCCTGTCTTTCGGGCTCTCCCACACTCTTACTTGCCGGTTGATTTCAAAGCCCTCTGCGGCTCGAACAGGAGACCAAAAACCCCCCAAAACCCCACCCGCTTCCAAGACCGCCTCATCCCAGATCCACGAAGCGTTGAAGAGAGGTGCTTCAAAGATGTCCGCGTAGCGCTCCAAACACTCCTCCAGCGCCTCCAACATCGAGGCAATGCTCCAACACCCAACACACGGGGCCGACGCGTCGGGAAGACGCCCGACGCCGACCGTGCGGGTGGCGCAAACAGAACAGGAAGAAGCTCGTGACTCAGAAGGCATCGTTTTTCGCGCGCTCATCGCAACACCCATGGTGCCAACCTCAATGGAGCAGACCCAACCACCCAACCACTGCTGGAACAAACGTACCCCACGCATGGCTCAAGCGTTCTCAGGGCTCACCCGCCTTGCTGTTCACAGAGGCATAGTAGACCGTCTGCTCCTGTCGGGACTTCTGAAACGGTGAAGAACGGTGACGTCTGGAACCCCGAGGCGTGGCACGCGGCAGCGCTTCAAAAGCGAAGACGGATTCCACCCTCCAAAAAGAGACGACGTCTCATCAGGCCCGATGTTCCTCATGTCCATGGTTCCCTCAAACCGTTTCATTGTTGAAAACGACCACGAATTGTTGAACAGCAAATTGGTCCACAAAACTATATAGAACCGTCCATTTTGCTGCGTAGAATTCTGGAAGCTTCTTTGGCAACATGATATGGTATCAGTATCTTTGCAAAAAGGAGTGCGGAAACCTGATGTCCTTTGTCTAACGCCACCGTAACATGCGTTTCCTCCCACAATCGCGTTCTTTGCAACGAAGCACTCATCTTTAGAGCCTACATGGGACACTGGTCTAGAACATCTCGATAGTTGGACAGTTGGGCCGTATTGCTTTGAACCTCCAAGAACATCCCAAAAAATAATTCCAGTTCCATCCATTCACACCACACCATCATCTAGTGAATCTCGTGTCTTGTGTCATTGAAATCATTCCACACAGAAGAATCCCAACTTGACCAAAGCAAGGGCCTGGATAAACCGCACAAAACATGGGCCGCGCTCCTCGGCCGTGTAGGCGTTCGAGCTGCCCCCATGCTGTGCTAGCCACGCATCGAAGCCTGACCTGCGGTGCCACGCCAACCCGAGGCGTTCCAGATTCGACGGTCAGACCGAATTGCTTTGGCTTCCTCGCTCCATCAAGACACCCACGGCGAAGAAAACGCCACCCAACTCCACCACCCACCACCCGCGCCGCGCTTGGCCGCGCCTCTGGGGGAAGCCCTTGGAGCCCAAGAACATCGAATGCTCCAGCAAATGAGCCAGACCATCAAAGCCCTGAGGACGCAAATGGTGCGAAGAACACGTGCGGAGTACGCAGAGCAGGAACTTTTTCAAGGGTGGTTTTTTTGGGGGGTCCGTGAAAGCGCGGAACGTCGGAGCATCCCAAACAGCTGAGACATGCGGAACGTCCTTGGCTCAAACTTCAAAAGAATCTCCCCGGGGGTCTTCGGGGTCGATCCAGCATCTCTCATGGATTCCAGTTTTTCTGCATTCCCTACAAGAACCTCGGAGTCGAGCGCACATCAACGACCTGGCCTTGGGGTCTGAGAAAGAACCCACAGTGACGGCCAAGGACACGGCCGCCTCCCACGAATGCCGCACCAGAACGCTGCAACAGAAGCCTCTGCACATGTCCCATCACCTGGGGTTTCAGTGTTTTGAGACCTCCAACCTACTAGCTTCTTGCTACTAGTAGAAATGGCCTCCAGCCTACTTGCGATAGCCTCCACCTGTTTCAGGCCATCGTCTGTGTCCGGCGCCTGGGTCGTGTTGGGATCCCAGATATTCACCACTCGCAGGCCGTTCTCCAGCACCGAATGCCTCGGGCTCCGGTCGTTTCGCTCCCCGCTGCTTCCCCGCGCGGCTCCGGGTTGGAGCAAGCTTTCAGACCGAAGGCAGGAGCTCAATGGATACACTTCTGAGTGACACTGATGGATCACAGGGTGATGATAGTCTGTCGAAAACTGTGTCCAATGAAATTGAATGAACTACCAACATGCTAGTGGAAGGAAAAGGTCCAGCCAGGCAGTGCAACACAACCCTACAGCTATCATGTGCCAAAGAGCTGATCATTCTGGCCTTGTGCTCTGGCCATGAAGTTTGTGTTTTGAAGGATTACAGTCAGAACATTCGGGGTTTTTGGTCCCCACATCTCCAACGTCCCATGAATCACCTCAAAAACATCTGGCTCGGAAACCCCTTCGCCCCCCGGCTGGTACTCTCGGAAGTCCCCCTTTGGCTTCTGCGTGAGTCTGGTGACCTGCGAGAACGAGCACGTTTCACATCCTGCACACCTGAAGCCCAGTAGCTAGAAGCTACTAGGTGGAGGCCATCGCTATTAGGTTGGAGGCCACTACTAGTAACAAGAAGCTACTAGTAGCTCCTGGCATTACTACTAGTAGCTAGAAGCTACTAGGTCACAAGCAAACCAGTCTCTCAACAGGATCAACAGGCTGCCCAAACTCCCAAATCCCTGGACTCCTTCCCGAAGTGCCGGGACTCATTACCCGGCCTCCACATCGGGCGCTAAAGCTGCGGGCCTGAGCGAAGCGCAGGGACGAAAGAACGCCTCCAGCGGGGCGCGCGGGGTGTTTCGCTGTTTTGGGACGTGGATGATCATCACCCTGTGGTCACCCTGTGATGATACACTTCTGAGTGACACTGATGGATCACAGGGTGATGATAGTCTTCTGATGATCACTGGAAAATGGATGTTCCATCCACTAAGAGGGGGTTGTCCACTTCCGGAATTTCTTGGAGGGAGGGTACTGTATATAGGCAGTATGTTCCCCAAGACCTAGAAGCGCTCCAGTGAAGCCGCTTCACTCTGAGGCCGAGGATCCCTGCTTCTCGCTGAGGGGCACTGCCAAGGACTGGATGGTCAAAGGGAAGGCCTTGGGCGTGGGCTCTGTTGGGGCGAGGCCTGAGGAACACTGAAGGGGTTAAATGGCGAGACCTCAAGGGAGTTCCCTCGGTCAAAGGGAGCTCATATGCCAATTGGAAACCTCTTAGTGAAACTTTGAGGCTATGGCTGCTGTTCCTTCAAGGGTTTCCAAATGTGACATTGCCAGACACTCATAGAACCACTTGTAGAACACTCAACGAAAAAATACATTCGCAAAGCTTCATTGAGCATCCTCTCCGGATTCCATTTCTTTCCCTCCCCCTCTCTGTCTCCCTCTGTCCCTCTCTCTCTCTCTCTCCCTTTCTCTCTCTGAACCCGGCCACAACAAAATATCTCACCTTCGTCCTCACCTTCTCTGCTCGTTCGCACTCCATTCCACCGTGTGTCGGAAACACCGAACAGCAAGCGGTTGAGCTGCCCAGAAGGGCCAGGATTTCATGTAGCAGCTGATGACCTTGGTCGCAGGTCGAGGCAGGTACACATGAAACACCCCAAATCTAAAGCGCCCTGGTGGCTGCTCTAACACTGTGTGCAGCTAGAGTGCAGGTGGTGTACACCTTGACACTTCCCACCCTCCCCGCCGCCGCCGGGAGTGTGCCACGCATGGCATCTTTATTTGTTTTACAGAGTTAGTGGTGTTGCACGACAAACATTCCGAGCCCCTCGCGTCGCAGCTGTGTATGACCTGCTAGAAGAAAAGGGCCGGCAGCCTGGTTCCCGCTGTCACAATCACTCAGGCTAAAGAGCAGTCGAATGCGACATTGATGAATCTGTCATGTTGAATCACTGGACTTCATATGCAGCAGTATCACAGCCAAAGCTGGTGGATCAAAGCTAACGCAGTCAATGCCAAGTCAAATGTCAAACTGTCCGAGTGTTTCGTGTTTAAAGGCTTTCATCACATGTCATTTGCGCAAGCAAGGTCAACATTGCAATTACCGCACTATCACCCCACTGACACCCGTACACTGCTGTTGCCATGGCGTAGCAATCAGTGGCCGCGCGTTGACCCGTCTTCATTGGGCCAAATACAGTCGAGCCGAGAACAAACTAAAACTCTTCACAAATCACACAAACCTCTTCACAAACATCACTCCGGGAACAAATACACCAAACACGGAAACCCACTCTGCACTCTGCTTTGGATGATGACAACATGAACAGTTTTCATGATTGTCGCTGCACAATGTCACAAGCAGTGGTGAAAAAGTTTGAAAGTTTGTCAACAAACGCAACCATACATACTCGCCAAAGAAAACACTCACACAATGATTCTGCCAGTGATGACAATGTGGGGTGGGCCCACAATGTCCAGTTGACTTAAAACAACAAAGCACATGTTTGAAAGCCCTTGCACACACTACCTTGGTCATTCCCCCTCAGTCTCCGTCATAAACCAATGTCACAGCGCCGAGAAATGTCATCCAATGCACAAACTCATGAAGAGAGCTGCAACTCGAGATGTCTCCATCATTGTGGCAGATGGAACAATTGCCAAGGACCATGCACTTCAATACCATGGGTCATGAACCAAACCACAATGCGACAACACCCAACGAAGGCTGACCTTCTTCTTAGTTGTAGAAAGATGCAGTGGTTCCTTGGACCCTAAAGTTAAAGGATTGAAGCTATCGTTCATTCCAGAAGCACGATCAGTTCTTCGGAATTGGACGAACTCACGTTTTGGGCAAAGTTTGCAGATCGTATCAAACCATCCAAGCACCCTTTTCCACCAAACACAAAGCTTGATGCGGAAACGCGCCGCGCCAATAGAATGTCTGAGAATGTGTTTGCTCCCTGAAAATGCAATCTTCTGTTGTCTCCGCTCATGTCCGACGAACCTTCTTGCACTCAAGTGTGGATCAAATCCAAAATTGCATAAAGGCAAGCAAAGGGCTAGCTTTTTAACCAAGCTTGTGCCTGAAGACCTGAAGCATATGAAACATGTGGGACCCCAGAAACTGCGAAGCGTTGGCCAGAAAGTGCAAGTGTTGGCATAGCCGCCACTTATGGCATCTGGCCGCGGCCCCTTCTCGACAGGAGACGCCAAGCACGAAACCATTACTTCAGACGTCCAGCTTCTGCCTTCAACTCCTCCTCAGCAAAGTCAGTACAATCAGCCGGATAGGTGTCCAGTGCTGAGCGCACCACACCCTTTTCACTAGAACGCTTCGAACGGGTTTCTGTTTTTTGAGGCTTGTACTGTTTAGAACTGCCTGTCAGCTTCAAATTTTTGGCAAGTTTGGCATTTCACTCCAAAATCATTGCCGACCAGACTGTATTATCCGTTTCTTCCTGCTCAACTCAACCATGGCTTGACCCCGAAAACACACGGCTCTTGCTGGCAAAAAGGCAAGGCTCTTAGCTGCGACAGCGGAACCCATTCCCTTTGGACCTATCTATCTGACTTGTCTGCAGAAAAGTCGGTGTGTGCGTGTGTGCGATGGCAGAGGCAGTAGTGTTTGATTTGACACCTATCATCTGTAGCTGATGTTCTTCTAAATTTTTCAGCACCTCTTTCACACCCGACAGCATCCTCAAACCAACCCAATTTCTGTCCAGCATCCCAGCTTCAGCTACGATCCAATTCTTTATTCATTTCAGGAATCGATTTTACCTCTCTTCTGGCAAAGCAAAGGCTCCTGAAAAAGAAAAAGAAAAGTATCAGCGGGACGAGCTGCCCAACCGGGCCTGGTTCCGGGGCCCCACAAGCGGAGCAAGGCATCCACCGAGCAGAGGCAATCGCCTGATGGGATGCTGAAAGCTTTCCAACAAAACTCAAATCAAACACTCGTCATCTCCTCCCTGATGCCCGTCACCACTGAGGGCTATTTTCAGCGCCTGCTCTCTCAAAAGATGCAACGACATTGGAGGCCAAGCAGCAGAAGGGCGCTCGATGGAGAGGTGTGACCCTGACCATGGATTTCTGCTACATACTCATCTCCACAACTTCACCTCCGAATCTGACTCGCCCATCCAAAATGCTTCTGAACCGTCACTACAGAACTCCGTCACTACGGATGCATCGGGCGACAACTCCTCCACGCCGCTCATCTCAGAGGGTGATTGATGGCTGATGACTTTGCATGTGATGATCCTGGACAACACGATTTCAGCGAACCACGGGCCGAAGGGCAACTTCAAGGTACCACGTATGCCCAAGAAAGCAAAAACAAACACCACCATGTAAGACAGGTGATAAAAAGTTTTCGTGGCCAATATGGAGTGCTGAGCGGTCACAGCGGGCAGCATAATCTCGAAGAACAACACTGGAGCGACAATCTTTGCCATCGCGTTTAGCATAAAACATCTTTCGTCAGCGGAGCGTCTCCAAAGAAGAGTCAAGAAGCTAAGCCTTGCAATACAAGAAACTGCTTGTAGAAACAAGTGGAACCAGTCCATATCGGTTATTCGATTGTCAGGTGCAAAAAACAAAGCAATGTGCCTGGCAAAAGCCCAGGAACCCTCAAGTAGAAGAGGCCCAAGCACAATTATAGGGATTGCCAACTGAACAACTCCGGAATGCTTGAGCACTACCCCGTGAATGTGTGCATCTCGCAGTGCAGCTGATGTCATACCGGCTTTCAAAAGTACTTCAATTACTTTGTCGACTTCATCGACTTGATCGCCAATTTCACTTCGAATGTTCCTCTCATCCTCGGTCTGGGAACAGGATGCCTGACGAATTGACCCTTGGTACTGGTTTTCCAACAGGTCCGTTTCACGCGCTGCTACGTGCAAGCTGACCCGGTCCAATTCGGCAAGCATGAAATAGAAAGGCAGCAGACTGCGCAAGATAAGTTGTACTGGCCTGTCCTCTTCAGGAAGCAGAGGGTCAACCTTGACAAGCAAATCTGCGTTTGATGAAATAATCAGGCGGGCAAGACAAGCCGACAGCCCAACATGGTTCACTATCAAACATAATTTGTTGTGACCAGTGTTCTGGCTTATCAAGCTGGCCAGAACCGCTAGCCCTCTTGTTAGCCCTCTCGTTCCCGGTGTCAACAACATGGAAGACATCGATTTCTCAGCTCTGAAGATCATACCAACTATGATACCTACCAGAAGTGCTGGACACATCAGAAGCCAAGCCAACAGCACTTGGGGCCAAATCGGAGGCGTGGCAGTCTGGATAATCTTGTTGCTTTGAAACGCCAGGTATGCTTCATATCCACACCACAACCTTGTGTAAACACTTGTGTTCCGGTTCGGCACCACCAACAAGAACTTGGAACTCCTCAGGGCATGTGCAAAAGGCGACGATGTTGGGCACCGAATCATGGCTGAAATATTCAAATTCTGAGGATTTGCAAGCATGCAGCACCAAGCATGACGCGCTCTCCAAGGCCAAGATGTCAGCACCTTTTGCGTAAATTCAAAAACACCTTCCTGCCATGCGTGAGTAATGAACAAATCACAGTCAAGTCCATCTGGATTCATCATCAAGGCCCAGCTCATTTTGCCAGCAGCGGCTGTGACTGGCTTGATGTACTCTTCATTGACTGCATAAATGCTAGGCCCATCCTTCGAAAAGTTGTCCTGGAAAGTCAGGCCACCTTGGATAAATCTGTGCACCTCAGACTCGAAGAACTTGAGGTCATACAAAGTGATGCACCATCTGGCTGGGTTCACGTCTTCATGAAGCCTGACAGCTTGATCTGTGGAGATTCGATGTCGCATTGGAAGGACACGCGATAAAATTTAGAGCCATTTCTTTCAATGGCTTGACCCGGAAGACATGACAATCGAAGAACCAAAGAGTTCCAAGAGGAGGCTTCGTTCTTCTTTCTCTGGCTTTGTCTTCCAATCCCTTTAAAACAATCAGGAAACTAAAACAATCGTCCAAATCTCCGTTGAACTTCCAGGAAGATTTTAACTTTAGATGGTACGCTGACGCCCTATGGGTGCGTCTTGACGGTAGACAATTGCCTAACCTATTCTAAAATCACTAATTGGGATCCCAAAACACTGCTGTGGTCTTACCCATGCTGGCCAAAAAGAACCCCTCACACAATGATTCTTCCAGTGAGTGCAAGTGGGGTAAGACCCCAAAGTCCAGTGACTTAAAACAACAAATCACACGAGCGCGAAAGCCTTTGCGCACACTACCTTGGTCATTCCCACTCAGTCTCCGTCACAAACCAATGTCGCAGTACCCAGAAACTCATGAAAAGAGCTGCAACTTGAAATGTTTCCATCATTGTGGCACATGTAAAATTTACCAAGGACTATGGAACGCCGACTAGACACCTATATCTGGTATAAATTTGAGCACCTGTTTCACACTCGACAGCATCCTCAAACCAACCCAATTTCTGTCCAGCGTCCCAGCTTCACCTACGATCCCAATGATTACTTTTTCACTTCAGGAACGACCTCTCTGGCTTTGCGCTTGAAAAAAAACCTGCCACCGGGATGAGACGCCCCAACCAGGCCTGG